AATGGATGGAAGTGTCTTCCTAGTATAGCAAATGGGACAAATTTAGAAACAAGGCTAACAAGATGTTTTGAATGTGTTTGTTTTTATATGATTGTGGGAAATCTGGAAAGCCGATGGGCACATGGATTTGAATCTCAGGTGAGGGTTGGAGTTTGAGATGCAGACTTGGAAATCACCAAACAGGGGAGGAGAAGTCATGGAGTAAACAAGATCAAACACTGATAGAAAAGTGTTAGGGTTGAATTGTGTCCTCCCTTAAAGATGTTGAAGCCCTAACCTCATATCTGTGAATGTGACCTTATTTTGGAAATAGAATAAGATCTTTGTCATGATCAAGTTAAGATGAGATCATTGGGGTAACTCCTAATCAATATGACTGTGTGGTTATATAAAGAAGAAATTTAGATGCAGAAACAGACACACATACAGGGAGAATGCTCTGTGAAGAAGAAGACAGAGATTGGGATGATGCCTCTACAAGTGGAGGAATGCCAAAGATTATCAGCAAACCACCAGAAACTACCGAAGGGCAGCATGGAACAGGCACTTGCTTACAGGCTTCAGAAGGAACGAACTCTGATGACACCCTGATCTCAGACTTCCAGTCTTCAGAACTGGGAGATAATACCTTTCTGTGGTTTAAACCACAGTCTGTGACACTTTGTTAAAGCAGCTCTAGGAAACTAATACAAACAGGTTGCGTATGCATGGAGTATTCAAGGATGATTGGTGATGATCGAAAGGAGACTATTTATTCAAAAATGTGCCTGGCAGTCAGAGAATCAGGAAAGGTTATTACAAGGCTATTCCAAGCATGAGCATGTGAACAGCCATGGAGGTAGAAGAAAGGAAACACCAGCAGTTTGCACTGACCTCATCACAAGCTGCCGCCATGGAGCAGTGGGAGAAAGAGATCTGCCCATGAAAGTCCCTATAAAATGCACGACAGCAAGTTTCACCTTAGAGTTCATACAGAGCAGCCAAAGGTTCAAGGGAATGATTACATCCATTTTGTGTTTTTAAATGTTATGTTCTGCAAATATGGTGACAATGGCAACATCATTCTTTAGTCTACCAAAATTATCAAATTAAAATAGGCAGAGCAACTAGGTTGACAAAACTGAAGAATTGTGGATGATAAAACAGTGTTGAGATACCCTCGTAATTACCTAGAGACAAATTAGTGACAACATATAAGAGCCAATGTGCTATCAACAACCATGCAGGAGAAAGTAGAGGGAAGACCCTGAGAACCAGACACTCCCTGGGAAGTGCCCTGAACCAAGCTCAGAGGAGCAGGAGAGATGTGGAGGGAGGGTGTTCTCAATAATCCAATGCAGGGGTGAGTCCAAGGAGGCCACAGTGCAACCAAATCTGATGCTACTGGAGCGGGCTGTGTCCTTTAATCCCATTAACTAAGAAACTGAAGGCCTTTCCCAAACAAGTCTCCATACTGAGGAGAATCTGCTAGGAACAGATTCCAAACTGAGCAGCACAGGGACAACCACGAGAGATGAAAGAGAATGTCCAAATAAAAGCAGGGAGGAGCAGAGGCAGCTGATAGCAGAAAGTAACAAGTGATTCTGTTTACCACTCATGAGAACGCCAGAAGAGTGTGTTAGAGCTGTGAAACCAGCTCAGCTATCCTGGCCCACTCATCCCTCCTAAAAGTATAGGAAACTAAACTAACTTTTAAAACTTAACAAGAAGAAAATTACCAATTATTACAATGAAAAGAAAGTAAGAAAACTAATGATGTTTCTGTAGACAATGAAACAAAAAAAGGAAACACACAAACATGAACAAAATGGATGAAAATCATAAGCAAATACTTCTAAATGAGCTGAAAGAAAGTTTTTAAATTGTAAAAGCTATGAAGAATAATATAAATCAGAATTAGAAAAATTTGTAAAAGAAATAAGTAGAAAAAAGTAATACATGACACAAAGGATGATGGATAGAACTCATCAGAATAGAATTTTTTTTTTCCCCCCTGGAGATGGAGTTTCTTTCTTATTGCCCAGGCTGAAGTGCAATGGCGCGATCTCGGCTCACTGCAACCTCCGCCTCCCGGGTTCAAGTGATTCTCCTGTCTCAGGCTCCTGAGTAGCTGGGATTACAAGCATGCACCACCAAGCCGGACTAATTTTTGTATTTTTTTTTATTATACTTTAAGTTCTAGGGTACATGTGCACAACGTGCAGGTTTGTTACATATGTATACATGGGCCATGTTGGTGTGCTGCACCCATCAACTCGTCATTTACATCAGGTATAACTCCCAATGCCATCCCTCCCCCCTCCCCACAATAGGCCCCGGTGTGTGATGTTCCCCTTCCCGTGTCCAGGTGATCTCATACTTTTTGTATTTTTAATAGAGAGAGATTTCATCATATTGGTCAGGCTGGTCTTGAACTCCTGACCTCAGGTGATCCACCCACCTCGGCCTCCCAAAGTGCTGGGATTACAGGTGTGAGCCACTATGCCCGGCCTAGAATTTTATATTAAAAAAAAAAAGAAAAAAAGCAGGACAGAAATGAAAACTCAACTAGAAGGGATATGGCACTATATATACACCATAATTAGAAGATGAGTAGAAGATGAAGAGGAGGAAAAAATTTAAAATCAAGAAGAAATTTGAGATTAGAAGGATTCAAGAGAAACTGTTAGACACAGAATAAAGAAGATATAGCATATATAATCAATAGGAGGCCTCCAAGAAGAAAGACAAAGCGATGGATTAGAAAAAATACTGAATGCTATTGTTCAAGAAAAATTAAAAATACACATGGGAACCTGAAGCTACATAATGAAGATACATATCACATTCTTCAGAAAATTGATGCAGAACAGCCGATATCAAGATACATTCTAATAAAACCATAGATCTCTAAAAAGAAACAGAATATGCTTGGGACATCCAAGCAAAAAGATCAAGTAGCTTATAAGAGAACGAACGTCAGATTTCTTTCAGACTTTTCCATAAGAACACGAGGCTAGTAAACAACGAAGTGACAGAGTTAAAGTGCTCAAATAAATAAATTGCAGATCTTGGATCTTGCATGGAATATGCATGAATTCTACATCCATCTAGCCTAACCTTTCGGTGAAAAGGTTGCTTGGATTTTCTGCTCCTGCACTTCCTTGCTGTATCCCTGCTATCCTTCGCTCTTGGCATCTGAGAATCTTTGCACTGGGTAAATGCAGTTCATTCACAGACTCTAAGAGTGGGTACCAATCTCCAACTAAAACTGTGAAACTTTCGGGTCTGTGTAACCAAAAGAGCCTATACACGCCCAAGGCAAGATTGATAACCACATACTGTTATAAATATGCAAGAGTTCAGGTAATATTGTCTCTATGTACATTTCTTGAGGGATCTACCACAGAGCAAGCTCCAGACAACCACATACTGTAGAGACATTGGCAAGAGAGCTGGAAAAGTATTCTAACAAGTAAGTGAAGATCAATGATGGACTCTGAATATCACCATTTTGCAACCTTGATTGCAACATCGTCAGTATATGGTAAGATCATAAAATAGAACAACCAATCCTGATGTGCTTCCTGATGAAAGTACACAACATCACCACCGAAGACAATCAAACTTAAAACTGATCAAAATTCTAACACTAATTACCCATTTGCAGAAAACACAAAGGATAGATATGTTAACCACACCATGCAAATACAATCATTAAAATCAAGACAATGAAAAATACACAAGAAATGTAAAAAGACATGGAAGGGTAATTCATGTTGTAAAAAGGACTTAAGATACATATCAAATAATCATCATATGTGGTTCCTGTTTGGACTGCATTTCAAACTTAAAAAATTGTGATAATCAGGAAAATATGAACATTGAGTATTTGATACTATTAAGAAATTACTGCCTTTATTGGTAAGTGTGATCACAATACTGGTTTTAAAATTATTTTTAATAAAATGCTTATAGATGAAATAATGTGATGCCTGAGATTTGCTTTAAAATATTTTGGTGACAGGAAGTAAGTGGAGGTACAAATGAAAAAGATTGGCAATATGTTGACAACTCCAGTTGACGCTTAAACAATACAAGTTTGAACTATGCAGGTCTACTTATAGGCAGATTTTATTCCACCTCTACCACCCCTGAGACAGCGAAACCAACCTCTCCTCTTCCTCCTCAGCCTATTCAATGTAAAGATCATGATGAAGGCATTTATGATCCACTTTGTCTTAATGGATAGTTAATATATTTTCTCTTCCTCATGATTTTCTTAATATTTTCTTTTCTCTTACTTTATTGTAGGAATACAGTGTATAATACACATAGAAAATATGTATTGATGTTTACGTTATCAGTAAGGCTTCCAGTCAACTATAGGCTATTAGTGAAGTGGAGAGTCAAAAATTACATGCAGATTTTCAACTACATTCAACTACTACAAACTACATTTCAACTCCCAACCCTCACTGTTCAAGGATCAACTGTATTTACCCTGAGTGAAGGGTATAGTGGATGCATTACTTTATTTTTTCTCCTTTTGTATATGTTTGGAATTTTCAATAATAAAAAGTGGTTTTTAAAGGCATAAGAAGGTTTACATGCACATACATTTTGGTACTTCAGGCTTTCATTGTGTCCTAGGAGAAACCCCCTCATGAACACTGTTGGGCACATAGAGAAACTGACAAAAAAGAATGTATGTAGACCTTTAAAGTAGCAAACCCATTCTCCACTTGAATTTCCACCACATTCCACCTCACGCTTCTTCATATTGCAATTGAGCAGAATGTCTTTATGAGGACTAATATTGCACTGACTTCTCAAAGTGAGCATTTACAAATATGGGTACTCTTAAGCAGTTAACGTTGGACTTTAACTCATAAGCCCCCGAGGTAATTGTTTCTTGTGCTTGCTTGCATATGGTGGCTTGCAGAAAAGAACAACCCTGGAGTTTGAATTATAAACTATCACCACTCATCTCTTTCTTATTCTCCATGTTTTCTTTCTAGATATTTCCACACAATATACTTAGGTATTCGAAGTCGACAGAGTGGGGAGAATGACAGATGGAGGTTTTACTGGAAAATGGTATATGAGTATGCGGATGTGAGTATGCTGCATTTGCTAGCCACCTTTCTGGAAAGTGCTCCACAGCTGGTCCTGCAGCTCTGCATTATCGTACAGACTCATAGCTTACAGGCCCTCCAAGGTAAGGGCTTGCAGTTTGGTTTTGGAATTTGGGGAAAGATTGACTGGCTACTTTTGTCACAATCCGAGCAACTGTCCTAATGCCCTTTGTTGACATAGACCTGTGATATGTCTGCTGTTTTACATGTGTTTTATGAATGATGCATGATGTTTTCCTACCATTGCTTCTCATGACTGATTAATTGAAAGACAGGGCATTTTTGCTCTCCAGCTGTCCTCTTAGTAGGAAAAAAAATCTTTATGATTTTACACTTGGTCGATACGGGGATAAAGTCAGTCAACTGAGGCTTTCTGGTTTTTATAATGGAATAATTTCCAAAAGTTGCAAAGAAAGCAGTAGCTCTCTCTCTCTCTCTAATATACATATGTGTGTACATATTTGTGTGTGTATATATAGTATTAGAGTAATTCCTACTATTTCCTTTTGATGTTAAGAGAGACAGAGAGAGAGAGAGAGAGACAATGAGAAAAAGAGATTAAAAGGAAGTGGTAGAGATTACCCTAATATTTAAGGAAAGAAGGTCATATGGGAAAAAAAGTTGTCAATGTTTATTAATATTTATATACTATGATGTTTTATAAAATGGATATTATTATCAGATTAATATCTTTGTGCTCTCCCATATTTGATGATCTCATCAGTAGGACTATTCCAGTTACAGCAGAGCTTCCAGGCATTTCCTTAGAGCCTGCTGCTCAAATCCTTTCTAGAATAAGTTAGCAAGATTAGACAGACTGGTGGGTAGGCAGATGAATACATGGGCACACGGATGATGGATAAGAGAGCATTTTCTAAGGAAAGCATTTCCTATTAATTTGTCAATCCTGTAACTAAATAGATGCTGTTAAACAGTTAAGTACTGTAAGGTGCTCGTTTTGTTTGGATCTCAGCAGGGCCTCTGTGCGCCCCTCTGCGCACATGCTGCTCCCTTGTGCAAGATGGGTCATGCTCCAACTTGAGTTTTGTTCTGGTTGGTCTGGGGAATCTCCTCACTGTCCTTATAACTTTTTATGGCATGGAGCATGTTAGTTTAAGCTGAGTGCTTTAGTTTGGGGGACAGAATCAGGGCACATGTTACCTGTACAGGAAAAGAAAGAGAAAATGTGTACTGGTAGCTGGTGACCCATTTATTCATAGATTCCTGGCCCAACCCTGGTTTCACAATAGAATAGCTTTGGTCCAAGAAGTTTGAGAAGAATGTCAAAGAGATCCACGATGTATGTTTCTCAACCGCTGGAAAGCAAATGGGGAGAAGAGGAAAGTGGAGTATTTGCACAGAAAAAGAGAAAAGCACGGAGAAGGCAGAAGGCCGTGTGAATTAGTTGTGGATGACTGTGTTTCGTGGTGTCTGGTGGTTGAAGACCATGAGCTAGGCATGCGGAGGCCTGGGCTCTGGTTGTCTCACTACCTCACGATAAAACCTCGCACAGTCACTTAATCTCTCTGGGCCCCAGGTTGCTCAAATGTAAAGGTCACAAGTTAAACTGGATGATTTCCAAACTCCCTGACAACTCTATTCAATCTTTGAATCGATGAATTCCCAATAGGCATATCATGCCTGGTATATGCTTTAGGAAATGATCTGTAAGCCAGAATACAAATGAAATTGAAAGGCAACATCAAACTAAATCTCTGTCAAAGAATTTAGTGCTCATCTCCAGAACAACTTGGCAACTCCTTAGTACAATTATACAGTTGGGAACTCTGTAGAGGGGGAAAATTCAGGAGCACATGTGCAAGGTTGCAAGTCACCTTCTTATGGCCTGAGGTCACTGAGTGTCTCTACTAGTTTTCTAAAATATTTGGAAAATTATGGAGAGGTTTTTCTTACAAAGATGATGGAGATAGAGAAGGTAAGGTGAGAGAGGGATCTAAGAAAATGAGGTCACATTTTCAGTTTAAGAACAATACATAAAATTGTACAGAAAAAAAATGTGGAAAATGCAATCCTTAGTTTTAATCAGATTATTCATCCTAAACATAGCAGCCAAGTGTTGAGTTATGTTTTCTGAGTCCCTGGCTCTTTTCTGACATCTAGTGTCCCCAGCTAACTGACTAAGCTTGACACAAGTATGTCAGGTGTACTGTAGGCGCTGAATGCCAGACCTCATCCTTAGCCAAGGCAAGCCTTGCCGTCAAGTTTCAGAATGGCGTAGGGAAACTATGTTCTGTTTCCTTCCCAAGGTGGTCAAAAGATAGGTTGATCCAAATATCACTAAGGATCAGTGCAAGTCATTGAGTCAAAAGGAGGAATAAGCCCACTACCTTGATCTTATTGCTACTGATTTTTAACAAGGGAGGTGGGTAGACAGTTGTGTTACAAAACAAAGAGTGAAAATATCTGACAGTAAAAAACAACGACAAACCCTCCAGCCAAGGAAGACCAGCCCATGAAACACCATGTGATTCCTTTTGCATTTTGAAGAGACACCTGTCTTCAGAGGGATGGCTTCTAAATACCCCTCTGCTGATAGATGATCCCACTTACAAACAAACCAGCTGATAAATTAAATTGATGTGAGTTCTAAGAACAGAGCAGTTTCCCTTTAGGAAAAGAAAAATAAATGTAATAACCTAGTTTGACATGTATTTTCCAACATCTTCAATGGTTAAAAAAAATTATTGGGATTTACATGTGAAAACGCAGCCCTCTGCTCTGAATGTAAATAATCAATAGGCATGAAATCTGTAAAGGATTTGCAGATAGCTCTGAATTAAAATCTCTAAACCATTCTTATTTAGCAGGCAGAGAATGATCACTCTGCATGTGACTGTCTAAAATTACTGTTTTTTAGGATAGAAGGAAAATTGCTCTTTAAACCCAACTTCAACCATCCACCACTCTCTGCAGTGTTTTTAAAACAATAAGAAAAATCAGACAAGAAATATGACATTTTATAACTGATGCTAGAAATTGTTTTCTCTTTGTGGAAGCTGGGTAGCCCTAGAACGCTGTCAGCTGCAATCTTTCTGCTTCTCCTTCCTTATGGAGTCACTTAGTCAGGGGAGCCTCCTCATGCTGGAGGCTGACAGGCTCAGGGAGAACTGTTGGAGCATAATTGTTCCTCCATTTGCACTGGCCCAGGAGGGACAGGTTGGAGTCTGTTCTGAGAGCAGGAATGAGGGTAAAGCTGAGTCTTGAACCTGAACATCCAGCTCTTCACACTCCACAGTCACCTTGGACATATTATAGGGCAGCAGCTGCTCTCCACGGGATCTGGGATGTCCCAGAGCCAGCTCCCTGCGGAGTGTAAGATACACACCAGGAGGCCTGACTGCATGCACGGCTGTACCTGCACAGGGTAGTGCTCTCTGTACTTCCAGAGAGTTTCCAGTTTACACGCCGTTATGGTTTTCCAGTCCCAATCCCATATCGTCACGAAGAGAGAAGGAGAGAGGAGAGAGGGGTGTTAAGAGGGGGAGAGGACAGCAGGCAGGAAGGAAAATGGGATGGGGAGAAGGAGGGAGGGAGACCCCACTCGACAGTGGAGATGGACCGTGGCATTTCTGTTAGTGTCCACATGGAGGGCGCTGCTCTCTACCTGTTTAGTGAGGGCGACAAAGATGCTAAGGAAGATGTGGTCTGAGGCCTGTCAGTTGTATCTTCAAGCAAAATCTCACACTCATTCATTTCACCTCATTTCCACTGTGCTCCCCCGGCCGGATCACATGCACCCCAACCCAGACCCCTGTGGCTGGCCCACAGCTTCATCCTCACCCCTGCCCTCTTCATTCCCTTCTCCTTGGAATGGTCCTAGAGCTGCTTAGACTCTAATCTAAACCACTTCAGTGTTCCCCTTGACACTCATTAAAATTAAACAAGATTCCTGAGCAAGTTCCAAGGCCTTTGTGTCACAGCCTTCTCCTCATTAGTCACTGCTCTGCAACCACGCTGCACTCCTCTCTCTTCTGAAAATGTTCCCATTTCTCTCCCACCTCCAGGCCTTTGCACCTGTTATTAACCTCTCCAGAATATTCTCGTCCCCTCTCTCTTAGCCTGTCTAGTTCTTACTCATCCTACAGAATTCAGCTTCACCTCTTCAGCATATCCAGTCCTAACTGCTCATTCACATTTTTATTTCCGCATTAGTATTTCCTCAAGGTATCCTGAACTTCAGCCCCCGACCTCAGGTAATTTTCTTATTGTTGTTAAGCTTCAATTTGCCCATGAATACTGAGGGATAGTAATAGTGCTAATTCATAGGATCCTCGAGATTAAATGAGAGAGTACACACAAAGGATTCGGCAGACCCTTGGCCCAGCGCATAGGGCTTCTTCGGCTTGATCTTGCAGAAATCTACCAGGGAATCTTATGGAAACGCAAATTCTCACTGAATAGGTCTCAGGTGTGGCCTGAGTTTTAGAACAGGAAAGTTTTAGAATCAGGTGAAGAATTTGATGGCATGTGAAAACGGGAAAAATAGTTCAAATTTGAGCTCATGAACCCTGAATTAAGGGGTGCGTGTTAGAAAGGAAGTGCAAGAAACATAGTGAAGAGAGAATGGGTAGGTCTTTTGACGGACAGAGCATGGACCAAAAGAGACCGAAGCTTGAGTCCATTTGACTGAGAGAGAACCTGGTGACAATAAAACCAAGCAGGTCAGCAGGAGCAGCCACTTAGGGAGAGAGCATTTTAGACATTTTAAGCCTGAAATGGTGGAGGACAATCAAGTTAAAAAGTCTTCAGATTGCAAAAAAACAAAGACAGCTTAAGATAAGTTACCCAGAATTTCAGACCTCCATGTCTGTCTAAATGATGCCAGCAAAGGTAAAAGGTTCATGGTCCGAGTTACCTCATCGGGACTTTTTGATGACCCCAAGAACCTGTAAAATGCGCAGTCAGTTTTAGTTTTGTGATGGTCGTATTATGAATAGTTTATTTTGGTTGCAAAGACCCATGATTGGCAGAGAAGATACCAATTCACGTACAGACAGCTGCACACAGCCTTCCTCAGCAATACAGTTTTGCTCAGAGCTCCCTGGGGTCAAAGGGTGTACTC